GTCCCTGTACAATGAAGAAAATGTATCTTGCTGAAACTCAAGTCCAGCGTCCAGGTGTATCAAGGTGAATGTCTATACTGGAAAAATGGGTCCAGCGTCCCTTGTCATCTAATCTCCAAGACCGTTCAAAACAAACCAAGTCTCAGTCCAATTGCAGAAGACCTATACAATGCTCTGTCAAAAAGAGAATCGTATGAATGGGCCACGTGGCCATCGTAGATGCAGAGGCATTGATTACTCCCCCATACCAGAGGAGGATTAACCTGCTGCAATTATACCCTACTGTCTCAAAACATGAAGAAAGCACGTAAGCAGGCCCCAGGGCCGTCGTAGATGCATTAGCCTACTATCTACGACGCAGAGAGCCGACTATATCGAGAAACACATATCGAGAAACACAAAGCCGGTAGCATGAGGAGGCCCGGCCAGGTGTAAGGTCTCAGTAGTCAAACGAATGGCATGTCCAAAGCATGTAACGCAAGTCACCGACAATCAACAACGCAGATACGTAAAAAAATTAAAATAAAAGAAACAGCAAACAGAACGCAGAAAACTGCCACCCAGACTACCCGTCAACCCTAATCAGCCCCACCCCAACAACCAACCAATTCCCGTACGCGGCCAACCAAGCAACATCCCTACAATGACGGGTGTCGCCCATGCCAGCCTGGCAGCCTCCGCGCCCTCCGCTGGCGAGTCGATGCCGGTGTGAGAAGTGGTGGAAGTAAAGTAGTGATAGTTGTAGCAAGTGTAGTTGGTGGGAATGCCGCCGACGTTCGTGATGTAGCAGCAGTGATTATTGATGAAGTCGTTGCTGTTGGACCGATAGTTAAAGCTGAACATGTCGGTGTCATTCGTGATGGGAGAGGAGGTACAAGCCGCCAGCACAGTCCGATCAGCCGCCACAAACGTTACAGGCGAAGCACCATCCGGCATGAGCGGCCGCCCTGCGTCCATCTCACAAGACCAATCCTCCAAGAGATTACACACGTCACGCCCTTGGCGATAAACGGCCTTGCGAACTGCCAGCTCGGCCTCCACCTGGCGCCAATCCAGAGAAGGATGAGGCCCAGAAACTAACATCTCCTCCAACTCCTCTATCTCCCAAACGATGTCCAACAAAATTTGTGAACGGGAAGCTACCCATGCAGACAAGGAGAGCCCAACCCCTTCCAACGCTGCCTGCTCCTGCGAGCGCTGAGTCAGCTCACCCACCGTCGCCTGCAGCTCCTGATGAGCCGCCCCCAAGACGTCAAGCCAGTCCGCCGCATCTTGTTGAAGAGTCCCCGCCGAATCCATCGCGTCGCGAAAAATGAGAATCACTTAATCCGCCAGCGCTTCCCCTGCCCATGCGTCGTCCTCCAGCAACGAAACAGCCACGTCACATACGACGGGACTGCCACGTGTCGGGCGCGTCGACAGGCCCTGCAAACGGGAAGAAAAAGCTCCCCGAGTGCTGGTTGAGCCACTGGCAGGTACAACCGAGCCACGTCGGCTGGCTGGCGCAGGCTACTAGCTCTAACGCGAGCTCCTACCGATCCGCCGGCGTCTTGCAGGGTTGCTGCTGGGACGACACTGGTCCAAGAAGGATCATTTTGCACGGTCGGAGAGTAGCACCAGAGGCAAAAAAAAAATAATAAAAAAATCATGGTAGCACAAGCCTTAATCATTTATAAAAGTTGTGCTCCACTGGCCTACTTTAGTAGTTTCCTTGAAGAGTGGGGGACTCCACTGACAAATTTTAGAAAATTCCCTTTTGGGGATTTCGCCTGTCTTCACTGAGAAATCAGTTCTCCTCACTTTTTTTTTTTTTTTTTTTTACCTATCTTACAGGGGGCTCCAATCTATTGGTGGGGAGCTACACCTGCTGGAAAGCGGGTCCAGTGTCCCCTGAGATACATTGCAGATTGAAAAACGCATCACCTACTGAGAGCCGCCCACGATCTGCTGCAGATTCAGGATTCCTCAAATTGGGAATGGCGCAGCAGGGTCTTGTTTTCCAAGAACTCATTTGCAGGTTCGACGAAGCTGCAAGCATGTGACTGCACTAGCTGGAGCCCCAAAAATTATTACATGGGACTCGCCATGCTTCAAGTACGTCAGAGAACTTCTCTGAAGTATGCTCAGTGAAGCACAAGCCTAAATCATTCCCAGAGCAGCATGCAGGATCATACTGACTTCCAATGCTTCCAGGGTTGTATAGCAATCAGGGCATACTCACACTAGTACCCTCAGGCAGTACGGATGCGCCTTTAAAATGTGGAGCATTTTTTGGATGGACGGACCTGCCCCTACCTGGGATCAGTTCAGTTCACTCATAATGAAGGGTCTCACAAACAGCATCCAGCACCCTCGTGTGAACCCTCTTGTGCACCTCTGACTTCAATAATTATGAATGTATTTACCTACGGGGCACAGGCAGGCTGGCACAAACAAGTACTTGGCCCAGCTATAGGCAGGAAAAAAATAGAGTAGAAACGTTTCTAGTAAGATGAATTTGGGCGCTCCTGTAGTGGCCCATACCTTTCCTAAAATCATGGCTTGTTTACGGGCACAACTTTAGGGTTGTGCTCCACTGCGTGGTCTTGGAGGAATTCCTTTTTGGAGGAATTCCTTTTCTCAAATTAAAAACGGCAAGATTCCCGGAAGAATTGGTGGGGCTCACAAAAAGCAGCACCTTCCTACCACTACTCCTACCTATAGGCATACGGGGAAATTGCAGCATGAGCAAATGGTAAACTCCATTTCCACAGAGGCCAGAATCCTGGCCAGATGCATTTGAACCCGTTTTTAAGGAATTCTGCCTGGCTCCACTACTCCCCACATTGCCATGGGGGCAATTTTCAAATCCTCTTTCTGTGGGCCTCGCTTCGTTTGTTTTTTCTTTTTTTCTTTTTACTTTTGCAAAAAACAACAAAAAACGCATCAAACTGCAGTGCCACCGTGGGCCTCACTCCACTACTCCCGACATGCACGGAAGACAGCGTTAGCGCTAGCACTCTCGAGCGTTAGCGTTACCGCTAGCACTCTCAAGCGTTAGCGCTAATGCCTCTGAATTTTTTTCATCGGAGCTAGCGCCTGGGCTGTGGGGGATCGCGTTCGTGCAGCTGCGATCAGTGCTGCGCGGTGCCAAAACCTAGGGTTGGGGTGGCGGAGGCGGTGGGGGAGAAGAGGTGTGCGGGCGCAGGGTGGGGACTGCCTTGAGGAAGCACTGAAATGCTTCTGCATATCCTAGTCCTGGTCGGTGTATGCTGGCATTCCTGGAGAGACCACAGGAGGAAGGAGGAGATGTGTGGTGGTCCGAAGGGCGGGATTTGGGCGCCGCACATACCAGTATGCGAAACCTGTCAGGGACCTTGTCCCCTGGCTTTGATACGAGTCAGAAGCTGAAGATTCACAGGGAGATGAGAGACGCATGTGCATCGACGAGCGCCGGCTTCTGGGAGAGCGAAACTATAGCTTAGCTGCGATCGGCGTCGCTTTGCGTTGCTGATGCTCGTACTTCGGATGTGGTGTAGCTTGCGAACTCTTCATCTTTACTTGGTTCTTTTCGCTCGTACAGATTATGGGGGTTAATTAGTTCACGTTGGTGTGTGTAGTGGGTATTTGGTTTTCATTTCTTTGCCTGTGAGCTAGTTAGGGTTCATTTGTTCACAGCCAGGAGGCTGCGCTTGCAGCGGGCCTTCATCTGCCCTGGCCTACAGCCAGGGCCTATTTGGCTACTTGCCAGTTCGGCCTGTGGGACCAGGCCGTGGCCTGACCCCACAGGCCGTATATTGTTTCAGTCCAGTCCAGTCC